TTTTTTAACCAAATTCGATAACCATATCGGACTTTCATCATCATGAACTAATCTAAGAAACAAATTTTTGGATCGTGGTATAACAAAAGGGTCATAGTAATACACAAATACTATCTATTTTCTACCAAATTCTTCGACTAGTTTTAAGAGGGTCCTAAAACACAACAACTCTATGTCAATATCTTCTTTTCAAACACAAACCCACTAGTATATTCAACATATGAACCTATTAGACTCACTAACCTTTTCACAAGCCAACCCAATAAAAAAACTAAATTTCTTCATCCGTTAAACACAAATAATAAATAAAGGTTTATTCACATGCATTGAGATTGAGATATACCATTCATTAAAAAATACTACACAAAAAACAAGAAACATAGACAACATATTTTACTTTGTCGGTAAGTAAACAACCAAACATTAAACAATTGGGTCCAAAATAATAATTTGTACTTTTTCCTAATAAAGATATCTTCTTCCATGTTAGAGACCATTACTCAATCAAAACTCATCACACAAACACAATAAATTGAAAATAGAGGATAAAAAGACATTTAACATTTTTGGCGTAAACAAAAGATTCTCATTTTGGTTTTTCCCATTTTATCATGATTCAAATAAAGATAAATTAAAAATATATCAAAATTGGTAAAAGGAGATAAATACAATAATAAATTGACACTCGGTAAAAGGAGACAAACACAATTCATCATTTATCACATTTAAATCAAACTAGGGGATTATGGTTTTTAGGGTTTTGTTTTGGGGGGTTTTTGGGTTTCTATCACTTTGCCTAATAAATTTGTCATCTTCCATATTATGGACCATAACTCAATCAAACCCATCACAAATATAGAATAAATTGACGATAAAAGATAGAGACAAGGATAGAGACAACTAATTTTTTTACCAAAGAAGATTTCTTGACTTTACAGGTACCCACTTTATCACAACTCAAATGAAGAGAAATGTAGAATCAATTGACAAGGTTAAGACAAGACAATGAAAAATCATCATTTATCATGATTGAAGTTTAATTTCTAGATGGTGGTTTTTAGGATTTTGAATTGCGGGTTTTTAGATTTGGTGGTTTTTGATTTTAAGGTTTTTGAGTTTTCAACTAATGATTACACAACAATACACATAAAATCAATAGGGTTTTGGCTAATATTGGTTGTGATTCAATGGTAAAAAGGTAATCTCACCAACAAATAAAATCTAAGAATGAAGATAAAAGGATTTTGATCCTAATTGAGAGGAGAGAGAAAATTATCTTTTTTTTATACTATGGTAATTTTTTTTGTTCAAAATTAATTTTTAGAGTTTTGGGGTTTTTTTTTTTATTTAATGCCACATGTATAATAGATACTAACATGCCATATCAAGTGGCTTTTTTTTTACCATCCGTCACTTGTGGATAGAAAATTAGCGGGGTTTTAGTGAGAGGAACCACATTTAAAAAAAAAAAAATTAAAGAGTTAAGGAAGGAATTGAATTAAAAAAAAAAAAAAGAAGAAGAAAGTATAGTAGCCATTTTATGAAAATAAATAAAGTAAAGGAGTTTTCATGCGATTAACCCATCAAATATGATAAGGACTAAAACAACATTCAACTTTTATTCTCTCTCTCTATATATATATATTATAATTTTCTAATGATTTTTTGTTACAAATATAAATTTTGATGGAAGAATTTTACTATCACTAACATAGTATTTTCCTCAACCTTATGCATGCTTTGCTTTTATGAGAATTGAGAATCACAATATTATGGAAGAAAATTGATATATGTTTGTTGTTGCCGACATCTAACATCTGTATATTTGATTTAATAGTGTTTAAATTATAATATAGAACTTATTAAAGCTAAGATTTAATCAACATCTAGAATTTGATCGAGAAAACACTAAAAAACAAAGTCTTAGGAACTACAACATTAGTCTTTGTTTAATTATCTTCAAATCATCTTTTTCTTTTTTTATAAAAAATAATAATTTTATTGGTGAATTAAATAAATATATCACTATTTTTATGGTACAATGATACCAATGATGACTATGGTTTTTTTCTCCTAATGAGAGGCCAACAGAAAGAGAAAAGTAACTTTACAGTACATTAAATTGCCTTAAAACAACAATCAAACCATTTTGTGTTTATTACTTTCTCATCTCCATATTAAAAACATTTAAAAATATCAATATACCGAGTTCAAATAATAGTAATATCTTTTTAGGTGTCAATTCGAATCTTTCTTTTGATATATATATATAAGACAAAAGAAATTATAATTCCTAAGCAATTGATGCTTCCAAGAAGGTTATATCACATACGGTTCCCTCGAGTCGAAAAAAACATCCATTATCTTCTATTTTTTTAGGATAAAAGATAGTAATTCATGGATGATATAAATCAAACAAATATATCATAATAAAAAAGAAAAAAGAGAATTGCATTATTTTACATTAAAAAAAATAAACAAAATACAAACAGATTTAATCTAACCATTGTGTATGCAATTAGTTTTTCTAATTAAACAAAATTCGAATTCTAGTAATTCTAAATTTATTTATTAATTATGTAGAGAGCTACTCCATTGTATAACCCAAAGATCCATAGACCTCCAATGAATAAAAAAAAAAATAGACAAGACACTTTTACAATGATGATGAACAATGGTTTTTCAAATAACAAATAGTCTTTTAATTAACTTTATCAAAAACCTACTAAAAAACTATCAATTATCTTAAACTCTCATGTTAAATATGTGACATCTATAATAAAAGTTTATATTAATATTCAATAAATTTTTTTAAGAGTTTCGATGTTACAAAAATAGTGTTACTCTTGATGTGGAGTTTTAAAAGATACAACATTCATGTTAAGTTTTAAATTCCATTAGCTTATTTGGTTATTACATAATAAAAGAGGGTTATCTCTATTTTATAGTTGAAGACCCAGCAAACTTCTTATTGAAAAAAAAATGACATTAAATAGGACACTCGCTCTTAAAAATTGACTCGAGTTTTTTTTTTGGAAATCCATTGCTTTTCGTTGTTGAATAATAATGAAAACCAAGTTGCAAAGATGACATTGGAAATCATGATAGTTTCGACTTTAACTCGTAGTATAACTTTAGGAATCTTGTCTAATTATTTTTTGTTTCACCTGCATTATATCAACAAAAAAAAATAAAAAATTGAAGTCTCATGCTATATTTTCCACATAACAGGTACTGCCATACATAAGGCATATTTCATGATGAAAACAATCTTTATCACAAAAAACCAAGATCCTTAGCTTTAAAAATCTGGATTGGTTAAAAATAAATAAATAAAGTAGCAGTAACAACGGTGAAGCAAAATGTAATTCTTCCATCAGGTCCTTTCAAAACTGAGAAAACCTAATCTTCATAGGATTTTCACCTCAAATTTGAGTTGGAAGATTTCAAGCTATATAAGCAGCTCTCTATCATCAACACTGTAGTCTTCCAAGTTACTTGTAACAACATCATCATGTAGGTTGGTTTTGATTATTCCATCACCCTCTATTTGTTGATTTTCATGCGGCTACCTAAATCGTATAGCTAGCTAGCGTCAACAAAAGATTGCTTTCAGTTAAAAAAAAAGATTGCTTAGCTAGTTTTTTCACTGTAATCGCGTAACGTTTCTCCTTTTGGTATGCCTTCTAAAAGCTTAGGAGCTCTAATTTTGTAGTGAGGACTTCAGAAGAGTTTGTTTTTATTTTTCTGTCCTACAAAATCGAGAAGTGTCCCTCCAACAGGTTCCTAGGCCACTGTTTCTCATCGATCCCTGTAAGGAAATGTTGCAATATTTAACTACAGCAAACTCTGTGACAATTGGTACCTATTTTAACATTCATGACATACTGTAGCATGCAATAGCTGCAATGAGTGATCAAGTCAAAAGATTGGCATTGATGAGTCAGTACCAAGAACCTGATCAGATGAATTTAAATAGAGTATATCTGCCAGGATATTGGCCCAACAACATATATGGTCATGATGCTTCGTAACTATTCCAAGGCTAATTATGCCTCATAGAGAACTAGGATTGTTAACGTCAAGGTCCTTGAAAAAATTAGAGTGCAATGGGTAATCAATTGTTTTCCATGGAGTTTCATTTATGGTTCCATTCCATCAGTTCACCAACACTTTGTTTAATAGTGCAATAGATACTAAGTTTCACAAATAGGACTATTTAATTACACATTTTGCTTCTATAACTGTAACCAAAAAAGAAAAAGAAAAGAAACAAGAGACAGTTCGTTCCTTATCAATCAACACTGTATGCTTCATCTCGCAGATAAATAATCCACAATAATATCATTGATGAAACAAATTGAAGTAATATTGGAACTAATTGTCTCAAAATCTGAGAATGTACAACGATAAATGAATATGAAAAACTAGCTAGGTGTGTATAAATATATATAAACGAAGAGTTTATGTATGACTTTGGTTTTATAAAATAATTATTAACTACCAAGTTGAAGACAGTTAGTTACATTTATCTACCAATTATTACTTAGTCTAGGGTTTGGAAAATGTCACCATTCAAAGGCCTGTAGCTATCAACTCATTTCCTGTTGAATTTCTTCTTAAGAAGACTTAGGATGCCTTTGAAAAATGTAGAGAGAGAGAGAGAGGTTTTATTTAATTTGGGTACCAAAAAATTGAAAGATGGAAAGTTCTATTTAGCTTTGCTAATATTTAAGAGTACCAGTTAGAAACTGATTGAACTTGTCTATCATTTTGACTTGTGTGTATATGTCCGAAGGAGAATAAGTACTTGCATTTTTCTTTTTTTCCTTTTTTTCTTTTTTTACCGTCTACACACAAGGCCATTATTAAAAGGCACAAGCAGACCTCCCTCAGTTTTTGTAGGAAGTGAGACCTATTGTGGTTCCTTACAGCAGAGGATATCCAAGACAAGAGATCTAGAGAGAGAGCGAGAGAGAGAGAGAGAGAGAGGGAGAGAGATGGGAAGGGCTCCTTGTTGCGACAAGGCAAATGTGAAGAAGGGACCATGGTCACCAGAGGAAGACTCAAAGCTTAAAGACTACATAGAGAAATACGGGACTGGTGGCAATTGGATTGCTCTACCTCAAAAGGCTGGTAAGATCAACTCAAACAAGTATCAAACCATCTCATCTCTCTCTCTCTCTCTCTCTCTCTCTAATTGTGTTGCTTTTACATGATTTTGGTGATTCTGATGATCAGGGCTTAAGAGATGCGGCAAGAGTTGTAGATTGAGATGGCTAAACTATCTAAGGCCTAACATTAAACATGGTGAATTCTCTGATGACGAGGATAGGATAATCTGCAGCCTATTTGCAAGCATTGGAAGCAGGTGCATTAATTTCCATCTTAAAGAACTTCTTGACCTTTTTTTGTTCGTCTTCTGGTTTGATCCATAATTTCCACTCAAAATACACAATTTATTTATTTATTTTTTTTTTTTTTGTCTTGTGTTTTTCCTTTGCTTTTCCACAAGTATCATCTGTCATGTGATGAAATAATATTGAGGCAATTTATCTAAAAATAGCTTGGGAAGAAAAGGAAAGACAGAAAATTCTAGGTTGTTTCTCCTTTTTAGTTAGTAAAACCATCCAGTACAAATCAAGAATCTGCTTTTTTTTGATAATTTCTCTGCATGCATGCCAAATTTGGATCTAACACCAATATCTACTTACAGCTGTTAAGTGCATAGTTAGAATTTCCTTCTTATGCAACCTATTTTTCTTTAACATGCAAATTGCAGATGGTCAATAATAGCTGCTCAGCTACCAGGAAGGACTGATAATGATATCAAGAATTACTGGAACACAAAGCTCAAGAAGAAACTCATGGCCATGGCTCCTCAATCTCATAGAAAACCCCCACCATTCCCATCTCCACATCAAACTCCACCGTTGCCATCTCATTCACTATCATCAATCTATAAAGACTGTGGTGGTTCTTTCCCTTACTACTCCCAAAACAAATCTTTCACTGGCTTTGAGCCCATTTCACAAGTTCCATCTAGTCTTTTAAGCAACAACAGTGTCTCTTTAGCCACAAACTCTTTACATTTTCAATCCACCGGCCAAGAGGGCTTGTTCAGTCCCATGCAATACTATCAGCCAGTGAAAGATAATTTCTTGGTGTTTGGTAGTGAAGCAAGTTGCAGTTCTAATTCTGAGGGGAGTTGCAGCCAGATAAGCTATGGAAGAGAGATCAAACAAGAAGATATGGGATTTCACAGCTTCATTTCAAATGGGTATGAAGATCAGAACCAAAAGTTCATGCTAAGTTATGGCAACAGTATTGGAGTTGAAAATTTGAACCCATGGGTAGAGAAGCCAAATGGGAGTATTGGAGAAACCCCATTGGACTATGACCTCATTGAGGATGTTAAGCAACTGATTAGCAGCAGCGGTGCAAATAATAATGTCAATGTGTGTTGTAGCAATAGCAATGACCACCTGCTCATTGATGAAAACAAGACCCAAGAGAAGGTCATGTACTCCTACTACTGAATGAAATGATATATATTGACAGACTGTAAGTAAAATCAAGAAAGATTTGATGGGGTAAGGTGTAGAGATTTCAGACAAGACTTTGAGTTCCTGGGGGATTGTGTTGTTTTCTCTGATGAAATATATGAAACATTTCTTCTTTTGACAGTACATGGGTTTGTAAAGGCTTCTTTTTTTCTTACTTTGTGAGTTCTTTTTTCGAAGAGGTGATAGATCTAGGTAGCTAGCTAGCTAGATGATGATGATGATGATGATGATTATGTGTTAATTTGTACGGTGTCTCACTCACATGCAAAACCGTCCAGTCACCATTAAGAGTCATAAAAACAAGAAAAAAACAAGAATTTGATGTCTAAGTAAACCAACCATTCATTACTCTTTTCCCTTTCAAAACTTTATAATCTCATTTTTATATTCCAACTTTAAAGAATATTGGCAGTGAGTTTTGATTTATACATAGGGTGCTATCATGATTCTATGCCTCATCATGAATGAATAGGCAATTCTGTCCTGCAAATGTGAGGTTCATTTTAAGCTGGATGAAGGGGTCATTTTTTGTCACTATAGATTTTGCACTTCCTTGCCAGGGATTTTGATTTAAGAGCCCAGAATCTTACAGTATATATAAAAAAAACCTAGCTAGCTAGGTCTGACTGAAGGTGGGAACTGGCCTACCATAAATTTTTAAAAAACACGAAAGATGATGGTGGAAATTTTGGATTTTTGTGGAGGCAGAAGCTTTAAAAATGGAGGAATAAATTATCATGATAATCTCAGTCTTTCCTTACACAATCCCCTTTATTTATTATACACATATAAAATCTATTATTTATCTCCGCATGGACCCGTCTCTACATTTATATACACACTAGTACTTCTTGTTGTGAGACGTAGCATTTCTTTTCAATATAATCATTTTTTGAACATTTTCACGTGTATATATATATATATATAGTAGCTCTACATGTAGATGTGTATATAACTATTTTGTTTTTTGAATCCCAGGTAGCTAAGGAGTTTAATTAATATGATCATTATCGACCAAAAATTAATTTAATTAACCCTAATAGAGATGGGCTTGATATATGCTATAGTTAAGCATCTCTATGTACTTTTTAATTTTTACTCCAGGCCACAGCTTCTACGTGGACGAAATGGAAGCACACCTGCAAACTTATAGGTATAATTTTTTTTTTTTTTTTTTTGTACAAAAAAATATAAAAGTTTGAACTCAAAACGCGAGTTTTAGAAAGATTAAAACAAAATAATAATAATAATAATAATATCAATTAAATTATAGTTTATTGTCTAGCCATAACTTTTTTTATTTTTTTATTTTTAATTACAGTTGAAGAAAGCATTAATTATGACAGTTATAACTTATTTGATATTCTGATTAATGCATGTAGCAGGGATGCCAAGATTTGGACGTAGTGGATTTAGCAGAGATAACTATATATATTGAGGAATAGTTGTTGAGAGTTCCTTGAAGAATATGTTCTCGCATTTGTTTATATATATATATATATATATAGGATAATATAAATTAATTGGCTTTGGTTTGTGCAAGGTCAATAGCTAGGAAGCATGAATTAGGGATATTAATTAAAGAATTTGAAAGTAGAACCAGGCAAAAACAACAAATTGCTCCCGATTACAGAAATCATCCCTTTTGAGCTCATGGTTCTCCATCACATGAACAATTTGTTCCTCGGAAAAGATTAGAGGCCAATATGTCCTTTCGTAATGATAACTTTTATATATAATTGAAGAAATACCGGCCAACAATTATCAATTTTGTTATGTATATAATTTACGTTAACAACTTATATATGTTAGGAATCGTATTAATAAGTTAACTCAAAGATGATGATGCATGACGACGACGATGATGTAAATCAAATTACATATGATAAGATCATCACCTAGTAAATAAGTTTTAATAAAGCTTTAATAAGATACCAGTGGTTTAACTAATTAAGATTGAGAAAAAGAGTGTGGAAGGGATTATTGGCGTATTGCACATAAAAATCCCCACAAATTCTGACTTTTTTGTTGAAGAGCACGCAAAGACATTCTTCACTTCTATTTTAACTTGGTTAGAGGTGAGATGAGTTTGGATCAATCTTGTGGTCGGCGTGGATACCACTCTGAGCACATTAATCATATTTTGTGTAGCTATCCATTTGCTCAAAAAGTATGGGATTCGAGAGGTAATATTGTGCTTGGCTTCGACCCCCGTCTGGGATTGATTCCGCAATTCATTACTGCCACTTGATGATTCGGCCATCAAATCTACGTACTGTCGTGATAGATTGGCGTATTTGGCACGTTAAAATTGTTTATTCTCAGAGCATAAGAACGTTGATGTTTTTTCCAGTAACAGTATCAGTGGACTTGGAGTTATTGCAAAGAATTTTCTCAGAAAGATTATGTTTTTGGTTCACAAATGCCTAGAGGTATAGTTTCCTGTTGATACAGGTGAAGCTTTTGCTACTATTTATGAATTTCAGTTTCCTACAGACATGGATTATTCTACTGTATGCTTGGAATCAGACTGCGCTATTCTTAATTATCTCTGAACTCCAATAATAAACTAAAATGGGTAGGATTTAAATATATTTTACTTAAAGAAACTACCGGAATTTGTGTTAAGCACTTTGTGTTCTGTAAGACTAAAACATAGATTTGGGTTTGCAAATTTTATGCAAAGCAACATAGAGGGACAGTGAATCCCCATCGGGAAGTACTCCAAACGGCTCCAAATTAGCATGACCCAAAGATCTCACTCAGGCTGCACCACTCTTCTACGTGGCTCTATGGATCAGATAAGCAATATTAAAATATAACAATAAAATAAAATCATTTTTTAAAAAAAAAATCTCAAATGAATTATAAATTAGGCTGCCAGCTATATGATTTTCTTTATTCAGATAAATTTTCTATGTTTGATTGTTAGAAAGCAGTTGGCCATGCTCAGGCAATCTTTTTCTAGGAATGTCTTTTCTAGCGAAGTGTATTGGTCACAAGGTGTGGCACCTACTGACAAATCTGTCACATTAATAATAAATAAATATAAATCATTTTAAATAACTGTCAATTTTTCCTTTTTCTTCTTGTTTTAAAGAATTTGATTTACTTTCGATTCATGAACTACTAATCATATATTTATCAGAAAATATTACGCTTTCAGTATCCATATATTTAAAATGATTTCATATAAGATTAAAAGTCAAAAATATTTTTTAAAATATAGTTAATTGAATATAAATATATTATCCGTTAAAAAAAATAACAAAATTCAAATCTAAAACACTTGTTCTTAGTCTTGGAACTTAAACCAATCCTTTAGAAAAAAAAATGACAGATTTTGGAAGTTTGCAGAAGCTAAATCTGTTTTCAAGGATATCATGAGAGGGTATTACGTGCATCCAGCAATGGGGCCTTTTCATCATTTGATGCAGACACTTGCGTATGACATGGTTACAAACCTCAAAAGTCTTAGTTGGGACTTTGGTTGACTATTGTTTATGACCCGAATTAAATTAGTTTACAGAGAAATTTTCTACCGTTGAAGATGACAAATAATAATTAAACACCTCTCAAAACTAATTACTGATGACATTCACATGAAATTTGGCAGTAATATGTATATGATCCACAGCTTCGTAAGGTATGAAATTGGAGGTTAAGAGGTAGGTTGGACTTAAGGGCTAAAGTACCCTAATTTGACTAATTTGTAGTATCTTTTTGTTCACGGGTCTTTCAACATTTCTTGCTATCTTTTACCCTAGTAAAGAGTGCCCAAGCCAAGGAACGTTCAAAGTCTTGAAGAGAAAATCATATGTCTATGATTGTGTTCTGTGTTTTGAAACCACCAATAATGGGCTATGTCATTGAATTTGTACACTATCCGCACATGGATTCGGCTTCGCAAATCTGAACCACATTATCAAATATTAACATGTTGATTCTTCTTTGTCTGCCAAACTTTGAAGCCTAAACTTTGAGAATGCTGACGCACATATTATCCTTCCCATCCCAAACCTTCGTCTTCGATCTTGGGTGGGCGATTGACTATGGACTATGGACTATGGAGGGGGTATCCAACGAGTACTCTCGATCAAGTCATTCTGCCTCACATTCACATATCTAAACTTTAACAGTATTGACGCAAAGTTCAAAACATTAGGAAGAACAAAAAACAAAATAGAGATATAGGTAAGAATTGACCATTTTCTTTTAGATACCAAATCGATACTGGTAGCGAAACCTCATATTTACCAAGAATAGCTCCAGATCTATCCGCTTTCTAGTGACAGTCGTGAAGCACAGCTTAACTTAGATTGTATCCATCTAGGATTCCTGGCATAAATATCATGGTCAAGAGAAGATTAGACCAAAATCTCAAAATTTATTGTACCAACAAGCAAGAGTCCCACCTCTATGCGTGGACAGAGGACATCCTACAAAACTATTTAAGCTAAAAGTAGATTAAAGTGGATCTCGCAATTTGGCATATTCTTCGGTGAATTAAGCATGCATTACTCTAATTTAAGAAGGCATTGTGCGACGCCTTCTTGGGTTTTCTCATTTATGGACTAGACAGAGGACTTGACTTCGTATAGGAACCTAATAACCTAGCTTTAGGGGGGCCATTTACAGTTGTCTGAAACACAACTTCAGCAATTTCCCATTAAAGAATCATAGCCATGAATCGTGTCGATGAATTCCACCATTAAGGACAGCCTAGATCCAACATCTCCTTGAATATAGCAGCTATATATTCTTGTCTTTGTAAGAGCTCCCTTTAAACAATGGCGTGATACCTAAATCTCCTGCTCGACAACTTAAGTCGAGAATGCCACTACAGGTAATAACCCAATGCCTTCTCCCCTGTACACACAGAATCCTATGCTACAATACCAATCGCTCGTTCTTTCCCTGGACAAAAACAGGAGAAAGAAATTTTCTTTAAATGCATCTTGCTACTTCTCCCAGCTCGCACTTTTAATGGATGACATTTACTCCAAACCCCAAATCACTCCCTCTTTCTCTCCTCCTAGTAAAAATATTTTATTAACTAAATAGTAACAAACTTTTATTCAACTTTAAATTATATAAAAAGTCAATCTTTCAACTTTTAAATTTTTCTTAAATGAGAATCGGTCTTTTACTTTTTAATATTGAGTTGTACCTCATTTCAATTATTTTTTTTAATTAAAATTTGATCATTTTTTAATGGTGAAAGTACATGTTAAGCCATTTGAAAATCAATCTCTCAATTTTTAATTTTTAATTAGACCTCCCTCTAATTATTTTTTATTTAAAATTTGATCATTTTATTATGTTCTTATCAATTTTAACAATGAAAATACATGTAACCGTAAATGATTTTTTTCTTAAACTTTTCCAACAGTTAAAAATGTATTAAAATTCATGAATTTTTTTTATTTCTTTCTCAAACTCATTTTTGTTCTTTTAATTGTTTATTTCTTAGCATTTATTACGAAAGAAGTAAGTTTTAATAGAAAAAAACAAAATATTTGTAAGTTTTGAGATGTTTTTAGCTACTGGCGTTTACATTAAAATTGATGAAAATTTGATAAAAAATTCAAATGCAAAATGAAAAATCAATTAAAATGAGATCTAATACAAAATTAAAAATTGAAAGATGAATTCTCAAATAACTTAAAAGTTCATCATAAGTTTAAACCCTTTAGCCATTTTTAATAGCCTCACAAATCTTGCCATTCATTTAGTGTTCCTAGCCCATTTGGGGGAGCCGGGGTCATCCACACAAGAGTAGCCATTAAAAAACTTTTCTTTGCTAAATTGAAACATAGATTATCTCTTATAACTGGAATCTCACACAATTTGTAAAAGCATTTACATTGACAAACACAAGAAATGCATGCATTGAAAACACGGGCTATACTGTTGCAGCTCTATTCTGGAGCATTTTTTGAAGGAAATAAATCCTGAAGACTGCAAAATGCCCCTTCCCCTGCACCAAGATATGTGAGTTTCAAAACATCAAGGACCATAATAAAACGTTAACCTCGCTAAATTGACAAATGATCAATGTCGAGAACAAACATGGAAAACAAAATGAACTGCGGTCAAGCCACTCTTTCACCCCCCACACCTCTTCTGCTTTGCTTCCTCGAGTTACCATTCGAACAGAGAGGGAAAGGAAAAACAGGAGCTGGAGCACACAGTAGCTAGCGGAACAAGACAAACATAACAAGTACCAGTATTGCAAGTTTCCCAGCAAAATACATGCAGCATCACGAAGAAACACACAAATAATGTGCAAGCAACTCAGGTGTAAGATATCTGAGAAAATATTGAGGAATGTAAGAGGCCAAGAAGCATGCTTCCATGGTAAAGGATGGTTGATGTGGTCATGCAAGCAACATAGTTTTTAACCTGTTAGACATCCCTTTTGTTTTGGAGGTTAACAATTAATTCCCCAAAGGGATTAAATGTCAGTCTAGCAAAGGAAGGTTATTTGGCGGTTAAAATGAACGAAGCAACCACCACCGCCATCAACACAATTTTTCATAAACTTTATACGAGGTAATACCAACCCAGAATCCGCAACATTTACATCCGTGACAATTAGTCAGATATCATTTCACCGCCTCTTCTTTTATTCTATACGAAACCACTAATAGTGTATGTCTGTGTGTACATAAGAACACAATTTTGCATCTTGGACAGTGATGATACAAAGTTGATTGTGTTGCGTGCTGCCAATCTACGAAAGATGGAAGAGAGTAAGACTAAATCAACAACAGCAACAGCAATAATAAAAGCAGAATGGTGTCTCGTATTCAAGCCCCAGTCTCAGTTGCTTTTCCAATTGTCTTGAGATCAAAGATTTCAATCCAATAGCCATCAGGATCCTTAATGAATGCTATCCCTTTCATTTTTCCTGCAACCAGACTCGCAAATTTGAGCCAAGTAATTATAAGATAAAAATTAAAAGAGAAACCAAGGGTAATAAATGCCTTTGTTGCACCATAAACTCAAATAAAGCAACTATATTCCATAAGACATTATACTAAATCATCAGTGCAATTAATTTTTTTGGTCAATGATAAGAGAAAGGCGAATGGAAGACAACTGGACGAGCAAAGATTAATTTTGTTTAACATCAATAATCGTGTGTTCGGTAATGCCATTGGAAGTGCTTTTCTAAAGTGCTTTTTGGTTGAAGAGGCACCAACTTGATGTTTTTTGGGTGCTTTTTGATGGTTTTGAGATGACGACGTCAAAACCATCGACAAGCACCAACCAAAAAGCACTTTCAACCACATTACCTAACACATTCTAAGTTACTAATATAAATAAAACATTTTGAGAGATAGTCCGGCATCAGCCAAGCAATCATAAAACTCATTAGTTAAAGAGAGAGAATTTATATCAATTCCCATCCTTGGACTGGGGATTAATCAACAGATACACAGAAAGACAACTGCAGAGGCATGAGGACAGAAGTCATCAATAATCAACTTCATTGACACAGTCAAATGGGCTGACCACAAACATCGTAGCAAATTACTACACTTTGTACCATTCATTCTATAACAAAATGTATACTTATGGTCCAAAAATGTTTAGCATGGAATTTGATGATCGCATTGTGTGCTTTAGATAAGTGTACCTATCAATTTCCCTTCATGATAAGATGATTTCTCAGTTACTGCAACAAGTTCCACTCACACAATATCATATTGCATAGCATATTACTGTTTAAGAAACCATGGCATGCCTTCTCCTATTCCCATCTATTCTCTAGGAGGATATACCACCTCAATTTACTCTCTTAATTGGAAGTTTCTTGCTGGAACATGAGAACAGTCTAAAATCCTAAACCTAAATCTAATTCTTAATCCATACAAAATCCTGACTGCTCAAGAACCCAATTAGTTTTAACGGTGATGAATTTGGTGACCTTCCCAAACCATCCTGCTGACATGTGCACTTGTGTGCACAGACAAAAACGCACAAAACAAACACAAGAAGCAGATGGGTACATCATCCAGCAATTTACCTCTTATTTCAAACTGATATCAAAGAAAATTTGTGTAGAACAACTTGCAGCTTAAACCACATGTAGGACAGAACCCATGCCCAAAATTATCAGTTTTGGACTAAACTATTTTTTTATCTATAAACTACCACCCACAAAGTGCAAATCAGATGCTCATGTTAATTAAAGACTAAACTATTTTATTATCCAAAAGAGGTGCCTACCATCATCAGGTTTTTTCACAAACTCCACCCCTAGGCGTTCAAATCTCTCGCATGCCTTGATTGTGTCATCAACAGTGACACCAATATGTCCTGAAATGCAAACAAAAACTGTCAACATTACTTCTTGCTTGGGATAATCACCCTTTACAAACAAAGTACCATACATCTAAAGGCAAAAAAAAAAAAAAAAAAAAAGAATTGATCTTGCATGTTAGCTAATTAGGAGTTGCAGATAAGAAAAATCCATGAAAGAGCAGTGTATTATGATGATTAGCACGCTTGTTTGATGTCAGATAGAAACTGAACTGTAAAATGGTAACTGTTAATTTGAGCCATGCCTACGTGAAGCAATCAAAACTTCTTATCACAACCTAGATCAAGAAAGTAATCCTTTGCAGGGGTTCATTAAGGAGCTTTAGGGTGCAGGACTGCATTCACTAACTCTTCATTTAAGTTTCTTGGTGTAAGTTCCAGCGTTTCTTTAAGGAAAAGTGAAATACTTTTAAACTTTGGGTTATTGATTTGACTCAAAATTGATGGAATCAATCAAAACTTCTTATCACAACCTAGATCAAGAAAGCAATCCTTTCCAGGGGTTCATTAAGGAGCTTTAGGGTGCAGGACTGCATTCACTAACTCTTCATTTAAGTTTCTCGGTGTAAGTTCCAGCGTTTCTTTAAGGAAAAGTGATGGGATCAATTATCAAAGAGACAAGAAGAGAGAGAAGAATTCTAAAGCATATATTATAGCATTGTCGCCAAACACAGTCATTCAACTTAAAACATTTTGCTAAAATAACATAATGATTTTGATTCAAAGCAACTTTTCATTGTGAGACAAAGGCCCCATATAAGCCACTGAAAAAACTCAAAGATCTTGTTCACAACTTGAGTTCCATTCCTATTGATAAACCACCAACAATAATACAAAACCAATCCCCACTGACACCTAAACTACACTGATACCTTCGTCAAGTAAACCTCATATACCCTTGTCTCATTGGTCGCGAATCGTGAAAGTATATCCTGAGTCACAGCACATGGATCTCACAATAATAGCATGCCTTATTTAACCATATGGATACCTCAAATTTAAATGATATCACTAAAATGGTCAAAATAAATGTGTTTTTCAGAAAGTTTTACCAGCTAAATTGCATTCAAGCAGTACACAATCCCAGAAATCAAAATCAACAGTCTCAACTATATGATAATGCTTCATATATACCATCAGCGCATGAAAATTAAATGTATTACAAATATAGTAGTACTAAATAGGATAATTCTTGACAAATTCCAACTGAATCGTAAGATCTTTACATACCAAAGCCACGAGGTTCTGTATTTCCATTGTGATACTTGAACTCAGGATCACTTTCAGTGCCCCAATTACTGTTGGAAGCTTTTAGTTGTCAGACAAGATAGCAAACATTGGGCACTAACAAGGAAAAACAGAAAGGGAAAAAAAGCATTATGAAGAAAAAGGAAAAGGGAATGATGTGCATCAATCATTCTTACTGTGTTAGTTCAATTGTAGCCTTCCGACCAAAAGTCCAAACTGTTCTTTCAACTGGCTCAGTTGGAGCTGATGCAGGATCCTGCACCAAACAGACGTCTACTGTAAATGCTGCAGAGCACCTATTGCTACACACCAGCTAAATATATGGCACTAAAAGAAAGAGAAGGAAAAATAAATTGTGGACAAATTCACCAAAATATTAGCATTCAAACGCAACCCATAAATAATACTAGCTCTTTAGATTTGTTGCTATGTAAATTACCTCATAGCCCAAAAAGTACAAGCTAAACTTCATCTCCGGAAAATCCAGTCTTTTTAGCAACCTGAAATTTCAAGAAATGTGAAAGTATCATTTTTACCAAGGAGAATCTATCCATATTGGAACTTCAAAGATGGAGTTAATACACCAGTATGACTCACTTTTATATATTTCTAATAATAACCATATCAGAAATAACACAAGAGCACAGGATCACGCACGCTTACACAAAGAACATCAATGCTCCATCTTAAGACCCATCATCATAAGGATGTCAATAGTTAGTATCTTACCAAAGAGCCAATCTTCACCCAAAGGACCAAAAAACACTACTTGGATTTTGTTGCAAAAATACTGACACGTTATCTTCCAACAACAAAAAAAACATCTCAAACGCCAAATACTTTGTCAGTGTTTCATGCTTTAACAGCAATGCTAAACAACTCCAATATTCTTAACCTTTACTAAAAAAAATTAATAATAATCAGCACGAAACCCACACATCATAGTCTAATTAGTAATTACACAAGATACAAATTAAAAAATAAGGGGAAAAAAATCCTAAATCATAAAATAAACTTACGACATGCCCAAAACACGAGAATAGAAGTCGAGACTGACTTTAGGATCCTTAATTCGAAACATCTGCAGAAAAGTACGAAAAAAATAATAAGTAAAAATAAATAAAATAAACCCCATGAATAATAAAATATAAATAACAGAAAAAAAGGGCTTACAGTTTGTTGCATGATGTATCCTTTAGTGGCTTCATCAGGAGTGGTGTAAAGACCTGGATTGTTAGAAGCTGATTCCTTCGCTTCCGATGCCATTGAAAACAGTCTTAGTCGATTTGGATTCTGCACAAATAATTATTAATACTATCAAATTACTGAAAAATTAAGACAAAAAAAAAATTATCTTTTAGTTGGCAGCGACAAATAAACCTTAGTTTTGTAATGGAGAAAAAAGGGGTCTGGGTTTGGGATTGGGATCGGAATTGTTAAAGAGGATTTATTTGCACTTAATGGAAAGTTAGACAGGCGAGATAACAGCAAGGTAGAAGTGGCAGCTATCCGAGGGTGAGAAATCATCATTTTAGCAAATAGTTGATACTGCCAATGCTATCGTTTTTCTGGGGCTTTCGATATAATTGATCCCTCTACTAATACAAAATGTTTTATTGAATCCCTCTACCAACATAATGTGGCATTGCATCCCTGTACAATATAATATCCATATCATTTTTTTTTTTTTTTGGACGCACTACTCCATCTAAAATAAATGTGGAAACATCATTTTAGTACCTAGTCTATTACTCTATCCTCAATTATATCCAAAGCAAATAATTCCTTCCAAATGTCCTCTTCCAAGATCAAAATGTGCTCATTAATTAAAACAACTAAAATAAAACGAAAATCATTGTTCATTAACTATGCATTTATTGTGTATTATGCCTTGATTTTCTATTCATTCACTATGCTCTCTAGTGTTTGTTAAAAAATGTGAACTTTGTTCTTTATTCTTTGAATGCTCTTTTCCATTCATAACTTTAATTTTTGTTTATTTTAATCCATGCATGCTTAGAAGGGAGAAAAAGGGACAATGAGACCTTGTTCTAGCCATCATGATGGTCAAGCTTACCATCAATTTGGTCGCCTCAAAGAGTAGAATACACTTATGGTGGTGGCAAACGATGAAATAGTTAAAGAAGGTAAATCGAGATTCAAAAATATTTTGAATTTTTTTATTTTGATTTGAATTTTTATGTGTTTTGTGTGAATTAAAATGAATTTTGAGATTCTAAACATGTTTGCTTACGTTATTTCTCTAATTTTGAAGCATTTTTGAACAACAACAAAGCTGAATTTTATTTTGAGAGGCCAACAATTAAAAAACACCACTTTCCGATAATTTTTCCAATAAAACCGAGCTCGTAAAAAATTACGAGAGGTCACTAAAAAATAAAACCAATCAATTACTTTTTCTACCCAAGCTTAAGCACGTGGGCCTAGTCTTAGGTTTTTTTGCTCTACTTTTTTAATTAAGATTTTTTAGGTAAAAATCACGAAATATCGAATGTATTATTTATATCTTTCATGTTGCGTAGTGAGGATAAAATTTATATACTATTTTTTATATTTTAAAATTAACATATATTTCACATTATATTACCCTTATTGCTTAAATTTTATTCTTTGAATTTGTCATTTTTTATGAAAAATCTCATTCAATTAATTTTTTTTATATACAATTTTATTTACTAATAATATGATTAACTTTTCTCTAAATTTTAAAACATAGTTTTTTTAACAAAAATAAATCGATATAACATACATCATTGTTGTCGCTCGTCGACATTCGATCTCAAAGCGAAATATATCGACGCTTCAATTTATAACCAAGACCTTCACGATGAAATAATATAGGGTTCGATTTCGCCTAGAAAGCCATTAAGACTTTCTCGTGGACACTCAATTTGACGAAAAAAATAAAATAAAATGAATGTTATTAATCGAAAGAAATAACATTCAATTGATGGAAAGAATTTTATCAATCGAAAAAGATAAAATTTGTTGGAAAGAATGTAAACATCATAGGTCGGAAAATATGAGACTTACATTATTAGCTATCGAGACATTCGACGTCATTTGTCCACAATTACCGATAGATCAACACTTTCTAAGTTACAATGAGAGTAAAAACTACTTACATGAAAGTAAAAAATAATTGTTACAAAATAAACTAGAGAACTTGAATAAACATGTGTTGAAAAAGTCTTGTATTGTTTATTGGCCCTATTCCATTAATCCCCTTCTTTAAATTAAGCGCGAATGGTTATTTGGTAACTCGTCTTTTTGTTTCCTTTAGGTATATTGTCTCGTCAAAGCCGGCTGATTGGATGATTAAACATAGTGTTTCACTTAAGTCTTATGATTTTGTCAAAACTTGATTGGTTACACGACCAAACGTACCATTTCACTTAACACTCGATGCTCCATGGAAACTTGATTGGTTATAAAATCAAACGAATCGTTTCGTTTAAGACTCAACACTTCATCGAAATTTGGTTGGTTTATAAGACCAATGCATCATTTTATTTATGTTTCACCGTTTTCTCATAAGAAAAGGCTACATTTGATCAACATGTGATCTTAAATTTTCAAGTCCCAACATATGCCTCCCTTTCAACCCTATAGAGATGAAATAAAAAATTTCTTTCTCTAATAGGCAAAACATTAAATGTTGATAAACATGATGAAACCTCGTGTCATTCTATTTAATCATTCTCATGCCTTGGTTACCCAATAGTTAGTAGCTTTCATTTCACCATATATGAACCATCAAACCTTAAAACTTAACCATCATAACCCTTAAAATATTTCATATAAAAAAGGAAAAGTGATTTTCAACGTTTTCACTTTTACTCTAATTTTTGCCTTTCGCTAGATCTTGTACGACAAAAAACCTTTACCTTATTTCTAACACTCTATCGAACATTTCTTCTACCTTTTGTTAAATTCCTCTTTCACTTCTTCTTTAAAAATGGCTCCTCGAAGAAAGTTATTCAAGAGAAAGTTACCCTCCAAGGAGATTGTCATCGATTAAATGAGCTCTTCAAGCAAACGAGTATGATTAATACATGTTTGCTCCAAACTGTTACTAGTAATGATGTCGTCAATATTGTGATTGGTCATAAGAAGAACCCTCGGAAAAGTTCTTATAAAATGCTGGGTCCCACTATAAATACCAAAATCATTCATCTTGTAGCCATGATCAATATGGTCTTTCTAAAGACTTGAGAGGCTAGCATACTCTTTTCACTTGAATCCTATCCAACCATTCAAAATTAGACTCGATTCGTCAAGGCTTTCCTTGTTATTTTAAGCCAAACACTAAATACAAAGACTGGGTTAAAAAGAGGCTCATCTCAATTAGGCAAGAAATACAAAGCGATGGGGATTCACGAGGCCATCCTTCTATCGACATACTCTTTCTCTATAAAGCCTAACTTAGTGATTGCCATGATTGCTTTATATAAACCCTGTGTCAACCAATTTTAGTTTCTAAAAGAGCACATTGTCGATGAACTTACTTAATGTTATGGAAATCACATGTTTATATCCAATTGGCTAGACTTTGGCTTTTAAAGCGAACAATATAGACCTCAAAATTCGGGAGAATAAAGTTCGCTCAAAGCTTATGGATACTTGGTCAATCATCGTGGAGGAGAAAAAAATATATCATGATGAAGTGATCAACTTTTATTTTTTTATGGATTTACAAATACATTGTTGGCTCGAAGTCGAAGAAGCCAAGTAAAGCTTTTTAGTCTTAGACTATAAATTTGGCTTCACTTGATGGGATGAATAAAATTGTGATAGATCTACTACTTTTTACCTATACGCATGTAGGACTTCATGATGCATCAACCAACGGACTCAAGACCTTATCTTGTCCCTTTTGGTTTGTTTAGATGTAGGCAAAAATTTATTTTTTAGCTTTTGGTCAACCTCAATATGTCAAAGAAAACCCGGATAGCTATGGTCACTCCTTATCGCATGAGGCACCCTATCAACCTTTAACTCTTTTGAACATTTTGAGGTATATCCTTGACGCTAAGCATACTAGGATGCACTGAAAGATCTGGATGCCTTTCACATACACGAGATATGAGTCATTGTGGTTTCGTTTAAATAAATTGTTCCATAAGATTCATTTTTTTCACTAACGAATAATTAATTTAGAGTGCAGCCTTAGTAAGTCGAGACTTGACTTACTCTCTTGGAGATTCAATGTTTGCTGAAGCCTACGACTCTAACCTTTATGCTCGATAATTCGACCTAATTTAAACGAGTAGCAAGACCATTGATTTCAACCATCAACCAATCATGGAATAAGAGGAAGGATATTCAAGATTTCTTAGAACAAGTTGTTGAGGGTGAATTGATGGCTTATGCCAAGTGTAGAACCTTAGTGGTTATCACCAAAATATTATAGTGACTTCTTCTTTTTCTACTAGGTGGTTGACTTTTTAAGAAAATAATTTCTCTATAGCAAATATATAGAAATTGTTCCATGATATTGGTAACACGTCAATAGTAACACGATCGCCATCAATTAAAACTAAACCATATGAGAAAACTTGTAAGTCTTTCACCTTATCTTTTATTATCGGATTTTTATGAACTATTTTTCTAACTTGTTCTTCCTTTCTTTAAAAGCCCAAACGAAGAAGTACTTATGCATGTCTTAACTTGGGTTTACTCATTTTGATTTGTTCTTTTTTTTATAAATCGAAAATCATTATCTTGTTTTTAAGTATAAGCAAAGTCGATGAAAGAGGGAACAAAAATCATATAAGTTACGTATTGATTATTCTATCTTTTTTTATTTTTTAAAAAATATGTTGAACTTGAGTTGTGTTTTGTATAAGTCGCTATGATGATGACTATGTTAGTTAATCATAGAGGAGGAGGTGTCGAGGTTAAAGCATCATCCAAACCTTCACGGTCTCATAGTAGATCTAGAGTTAGGAAAGAAGTAGACTCGATATGATGATGCCAACTAATATCATGATTAGTTTTCGTGCTAGGCAACATATGGTAGAGACAATAGCTAAAGGTATTCGGTAAAATTTTCAAACTATGGTAGCGTTAGTATTTACCAATCAAGGATTATATAAAGTAGGTACTTCCGTAGCCGACACTCGATCAAGATTGATAGGGTTTGACCACTTGTGTGGTTTATTTTTTGAAATTAAAGTCACTAACTTATTCAAGTGATAAAAATAATGAAAATTCGATGCACTTTATAGATAAGATAGAAAAGAGGCTAATTATACTTCGATGTCTTGAGGAAAGAAAAGTTGGATTGGCGACATTTATATTTGAATGGAGTACCGAGTGATTAGTGCAAACGAGATAAAAAAATCTAATTGGTCATAAGAGTATTTAAGGAAGTTTTTAAAGAGGAGCAACTACCCGAGAGAATCGGGAAAGAAAGGGTTAAGGAGTTTAAAAGACTAGTACAAACTTCTAACATGACGATGATAGAGTATGCAATGAGATTGATAAAGCTAAGTTGATATGCTCTA